GGCTGCTCCTCCCCGTACCTTGTAAGATATGATTAAAGCAGTTAACGTTAGCAGTGATAATGGCGTGTTGAGGCTAAATGTACTATTTGAACGATGGCCGAATTTGGTCCTTCTTCTGTCTTGACTCAAAGTGAGAAGAATTGGATTGCAGACGATTCAGCTCCAGTCTTAACCATCAACAGTAGATCGGCAAGTCACCAGCGTTTAATGGCAATGACGTATTGAATGGTCGTTAGCACTGAAAATATTACGGGCATTTGTAATTGTAAATGCCAAGATGGCTTTATTTGGCCCTTTTGGCGATGTCCTGTTTTGTTACCAGCTTTCGAGGTATATTTTAAAACGAACTCTGACGTTGGTACTTCCATATGGCATGGTGGAGCAGGAGGTCAGTTTCGATGCCGAATGCCGACCCCGTAGATGCCGGTTTCGGTTCTGCTCCAAGGCAATCCCTGCATTAACCACGAACTCTCTTGATCAAGGACTGAATCGTAGAGGGCTTCCGTTCAGGGTTGTTCAGTCAGTAGAGCATCGAACTCGGAACCGGGAGGTCCTGAATTCGAACTTCGGTCAGGATGAGTCGCTTTCTTCTATTCGAGGATGAGTACCGTTCTGTGGGAAGGAAAGACAAGGCTACAAGCTATGTTTGTGGCACAGATGCTGCCAACTGTGCTGCCTTTTAACTAATACATTCCAGGCGGATGGCTTCATGGAAATGGACATCAGCACCCCAGCGTTATCTTCATGAAAGAAAGATGCCAAAAAATGACCCCGTCATGAAAGTACAAGAAGTACTAAAATTCCAACTGTTATATACTTTCTTTACCTCCCATCAGGACTTATGATGTACCGATTTTTGAGTCACCTCCGACACGGCTTTTACGAGGAACACACAACTCTGAAGCTACACACTGAGGTCGTATGGTGGAACAGGAACTTAACATGATTTGTTGTCAACGATCGCTTAAGGCTCACGTTTCACTGGCCAATGGGGACAATCCCTGAAACCCAACGAGCACAACACAGCATCCTTCTGCCAAACCGCGCCTATCGGTTTCGATCGCCTTTTAATTAGGCACCAGTTATGCAAAGTATCTGACATCATTTGCATGCCAGATGTACAAGTACATTTATGCAAATTTAGGCATTGACGATTTACCACATTTTGGGAAACGTGTGGACTCATGAGTAAATGCGTGAGCGAAAAACGATCGATGAGCGATTGACTGGATACACAACGGTGATCAAGAGATCCGGCTTAACCGGCTGTCACTTCGGCGTGAAACGACGGCGTAAGTGTCAATCATCGATAGACGGACCTCATTCAAATGCGGCGGTTGTCAAACATGAGAACTCAGGTAGTCGAGATGAAAGATTTCCTTTTTTTGCTTTGTCCTCATTATTTTTCCTATGCGTTCATCAAAGAGTTGCTATGGTCTAAGTAATTTTGAGGATTTAATTAATAAGTAATTCCGAGGGTTTCGTGACTGCTACGTAAACGAAATGACATGATCGATAGCTCTATCACCCCCATCATCAGAGAACGGCGGTGTTTCTGCGATGCAGTACAATCAAACTGAACTGGCGCCTTGCATAAAACGAGTTCTCTCGAGTCTAGATTCCATCACGCTTTCTACAGTGTAAGATTAACTCAGGTTTGTAACACGTCTGTATTTCAAAACACAATTTGGCGATTATGAATATTAAGGCAGATGAAATACAGGAGAAATTAAAGGCCGTATATTTAATGTAAACGAT